CTCAGGCTGGTCTCAAACTCCTGAGCTCAAACAATCCGCCCACCTCGGCCTCCCAGAGTGCTAGGATTACAGGCGTGAGCCACCGCGCCCGGCCTCCATTGCATTTTTTATTTGGAAGATTTTATAGTTTTTTACTTCTCATCCCATCCATTTATTGTTTTCCTTACTCTGTTTGAACTTTAAATGTCAGTTGATACTTTCTGAATCCTCCTTTTCCGAGGGAATAATGGTTCCTCTAGTCTTTGCTTTCTCTGAGCATTTTTGGATCTTATAAAGATGATTGGGTTTATAGAGATAATTTCAAATATTCTGCCGTATCTTCAAAGATCTAGCTCTGCAATTTTTTTAAAAAAATTATTATTTTTCTTCTATAAACAATTAGGTGACTTTATTCTTCCTGCTGCTTTATGTTTTCTATATTCCTTTTTAAAAAAGTTTTTAAAAAGAGTATAATATTGATATCTCTGTGCTATACTTTTGTTTAAGTGATAATGCCCAGTGATTGCTATTTTGCTTTTGTGGAAGGTAGATACCAAAAAGTAATTAGTTATGGTTATGTTGGTTGGGAAAAGACTGTACAGTATATTTATAATACACACTATTTTTCTTTTGGTGATGCTGTTTTTGTTGCCTCTCAACATTTTGGGGGAAATCCTTTAGTAATATCGGATCTTAGGTTTTACCGTCGGCATCTTAATTTATTAAATTCCGTGGTTAAACATACAAAGATTATTTTTGTTTCCTTGGATAATAAATACAATGATAGAATGAATAGTCTTATTTGATCCAGTAATTTTAAACTTCTTCCTTCTTTGGAAGCAATGTAATTTAGCAAGAAGAACATTAAGCTTAGGGTTTTGCCTTGGGTTTAAACTCCGTTTTTAGAATTTCAAGTAACATTTATTGAGTTTGTGATTTTCATGGTAATTGGCTAGGTGTAGGATAGGAAGCAGGATGATTCAGATATAAATTACAGATGGTTTCTACCTTTAGCGTGCTTACTATTATTGATGTGTGACCATGTACAGCTTTTTAAATTTCACTAGGCCTAAGTTTTTTACCTGATATGTGAAGAGGCTAATAAATACACTTAATAACCACGAACAAGTTAGATGATATGTGTGCAAGCCCTTGTCATTCTTTAGAAGAAGAGTGTTATATACATTCAAAGTTATAGCTGCTTTATCTCTAGAATAAAGTAATGGGACTAATTTTTATAAGCTACAGTAGATAATCAGTTTTATTTTATGTGACTTCCTTACATATTGTAATAACGCAAATCTCACAGTTTGTTTCTCTTCTACTTTCTTTCTATTGAGGCTATGTGAGAAATGTTTAAAGAATACATATTTAAGAATTAATATATGAAAGAGTTATTAATAGACAATTATTGCTAATAAATTCAACATATATGTTTCTGTGGGAAAATTTGTTTCTTTGAAGAATATGGAAACACTGCTTAATTCAGAGATAGCTTCATTTTCTCTGTGATTCCTCTAATTCCTTTCTGCCTTTCTCAAAATGTAGGTGAATTCTAAAAGGTTCTTAAAGCTCTATTTTAAAATTTTTTTTCTTTTAGATTATAGTTTTCAT